TAGGGAAATAGAATGAAAAGCAGGTGGCAATTTGTACATTACTTTCTATCATAAAAGTACATAGCTTTTTTTTACTTGAGTTACAAAATGATATTGATTATTCAAATTGTTTAAAGTATTATTATTAATACTTGCAATAACTTTTTAGAATTATTAGATTTCAAGACTAGGCGAGTAGCAGCATTTAAAAAGAATCTCATTGAATTAACAGAGCTGGAAATAAAACATGCTAAAGTGAGTGTAGATATCTTATTTTTTTAAGCTGTAATAATAATACGTTACGAAAATATTACAGACATATATCTCGAGAATGTATTTACGTTATATGTTCACAGTCGCACGCGGAATTGCTCAAGAAATGTTTATCCGTGCTCCGGGAAGAGTGATCTAGTTTTAGCATTGCCATGGATAAACCTACATGCATGCATTCTGTATGCAGATAACAGTTTATTTAAAATATGATAACGGTACTGTAAAATATTATATATATTTTTTGTTAACTAAATTTATTAGATCTATCTTACATGGGAAATAAAATATTGTATTAATAGCTGCAAAGTGACTGCGAAAAACGAATATTTACTATCTTTGAGCTGTAAAAAGCTATGCAAATGCTGCTATCAGCTTCTGCTTCATAGATATTAATTAAGCAATTTTATAAGAGTTTGGATAATACATGTGTTAAAAAAAATTACACGCATTTCCATTGTAAAAAATTAGATGTTATCGAGTCCCTTTGCAGCTTTGAATTAAGAGCCTGTTACACTTATAAAGGTTCTCTATATAAACAAATATATATATATAGAAAAGAGAGAGATATATATACATATATGTATAAATAAGAATATATCCATATGGAGCATGTTATTATTATAATACTTAAGTATAGGATAAATTTGTGAAGGAGGAATCATTAGTATAAAAGCTCAGGATGATTAAAGTTAATATAAACAATTAGATTTTCATAAATGAACTTTCCAGATTTTTACGATACACTAGTAATTATTCTGACAAATAATTATTCATAATTGCGTTCGTTCTAAGATTAGGAAGCAAAGCAATGCGACAATGATTAAAGGGACCTTGAAACAATTTATAATAAAGTGCAATTATACTTTTCATTGTAGCGTTGTAAAGCCATACTTATACTTTTATGTTCTTTTGTTACGCATTTCATCGCTATTTTCGTTTGTCGTGCAAATTACATTAAATACTTTATTACCACTCATCTTACATAAACTAGAAAAAAAAGAGAAGCATGCTTTATAATCATTCGAGTATACAATTCCGGTGAAATAGCTTTTTCATCAGAGATGAATAATTGCACACAAATATTTTCGTAAGTTTTTATTGAATCGAATCATTTTTCTTTTCTATAATACATGATTGCGGACATATACTGAGAAATTCATTAAGTTGCAAGTTTTATCGTTTAATTCTTTAAGAATTAATTCGAAATCCACCGTAATGTACCGTACATTATCGTCTTATCCTTAATATCAGTAGATCCTATGAATATCCTATGAGTGAGTGCAGATAAACGCGCTGCGATGCGGACAACGTCCTATCCCGTTTATCGTACGCCGGTCTTAATTAATTTGGTATTGTTACACCGTACAGTTAATATAATCTTAATAATAACAAACAGTAAAGACGACGCAATAGAAAATATTTTTTTTTTTTTTTTGGTACATAAAAGTCACGCTGCAAAACGTCTCGCTCTTTCAACATCATTTCTATTTGTTATTTCGTTTTTTATTCTCGCTTATATACTCTCAATCACTATTTTACAATATCAAATTCCGACAAGCCAGACATATATTTTTGAGAACAATAATTAATACACGCATTTCCAGTTTAATAGTATTGCTTTTATTACGTCTGTGTCACTTGTGTGAACAAAATTCGTGAAAATATGAGTTTATCTATGAATTTTTTTAGCACATTTTGATAACCAAGTTATGTGTGTGTGTTACAAATAATTAGTTGATGGTACTCTTGAGTAGTATATAAAAGACGTCCTAAAAAGATACGGTTAAAAAGACATGAGTGATTTTATTCTACTTACGAAAATAATTAATTAAATCCATTAATTACTCACAATATTTTCGGTAATATTTTTGTTTTCTGATATTAGGATTATGATATTCTCCAAAAAACTTAATTAAAAAATTAAAAAAGATAAAAATAAAATATTTCTATACGAAATGCACTTTTCTCGAGATACGCCATAAATATTTCACCTACATTCATCCGAAATTATCGATCAAAGTTTCTAACTAACGAATTATGTTTTGGAGTAAAATTCTAGGAATAATCTATACATACATAGGTGCTACACGTGTGCGAAGTATAATCCCCCGGGTCTGTTAACAATTGTAATTTCATTGTGTAGGTATGGAACAATGAATGCGGTCCATATTATATTTTAATTCGACTTTATTTCGCTCGTTAGCATTATCGTCGGACCATATTCCGGCATTGCGGAAGCGTTCATTTTGGAGAATTTATCGTTCTCACGCGGTACAAACGCGGTTGGTTATCGGGAATGCACGATCGTTGTTAATAACACGGCAGGTAATTATCGATTCTCATTGATCAACGAATAGGAGCATTCGCCGGTAGATTATGCTCGTCCGCCACGATGATGAATTTTTCACGAGCAATGGACGTTTAAACGCGAGTAGCTCTTTTATCTTACGATCGTTAAACTGATATCCTGCGCAAAATGAAAAATGTAGAGATTAAATTCGTATATCGCGTGAACATCTCACGAACAAAAGCATATCAGTGAATGTATTATAGTCCCGCGATTTTATTCCATTTATCAGAAGTATAAGCCCGCACTCAATTTCGTATATTTCAATTATTTTTATATTATACGTGTATTCTAAACAAATTATTTGATACAATTCGTAGAGAAAAAAAATATATTTGTTGCAATATTTATCACCAGAAAGAAAGATTGAAGTTACTTTTGAAGTTACAGAAATTTTCATGCAAAATATATAAATGGCTTTAGAGGGATGTTTTTGAACAACTTAATCTTTATCCTAAAAAGTGTTTTTTATGATTAAATAATTCTATTTAATATTAGAAGAGGATTTTTATTTAAAGTTTTAAAGGCGCGTCACTTCAAATTAGACGGCAAAACGCGTTAACATTATAATTATACTAATACTATAACGTTTAGTCATATGTCAAGAGATACGAACACTCGGATATCCGTTAAATGCCCTAGATATCGCTAGTGAACGCTTGGTTCAAGTCATTTTAAAGTTTTATTAGCTGTCACGGCACGGAAGCACGGTTCTATTAATATCCAAGTAACTGAGAACAAAATAGAGTCTTATAGAAAATACCTATTTGCACATTTATGCTGGTATTTATGCGGGTAAACAAGCCTGAGAGAGATACTCAACGTGTTATATTTCGAATCTCTCGATATACGTCTCACGTTATTTATCCTTTACTTTTCACGCGATCGTGTTAAGATTTACTCTCTCTAGATGTAATATTCAATTTCGTCCATTTGTGTTTAAATTTAATTTATATTTAAATATATGCGAAATATATGATCATAAATCTCTCTTCAATTTTTTTTTTCCAAACATGCGATGTAGGCACGCCATATACAAGTTCGCTATCAAAATTAATTAAAATTTTCGTGTGATTACCGTCACCGTCAATCTTAACTCTTATCGATCCTTAATCCGGAATGGTAATTTTTTAAATAAAACATAATATAGTCACCAAAACTAAGTTCGTCGGTCTTTTCCACTTAGAGTCAAATTTACATTACATAGCGCTATGTATATACATGGTCAACGATATATCAAGATTTTTTTATATTCACTGGAATCCGTAAATCGACAAAGTCGACCTACTTACTCTGCCGGTGGCGTAAAAGCCACAGTTAGATTTCGCGTTTAAACGTAAGCCGTGCGTACCGGCACCTAAAATATCGTACTCGATAAACGCTGCGCATTAATTTATTCCGAGACACTAGCGTGTGATTTCTCTTTGGTCGTCGCGAAAATACGATGATGAAGAATGCACAGACTCGAGACCAAGCGGGAGGAGGAGGGAGAGGTTGGTGGACGAGGGAAGCGTAGCAATATATATATCTACGCGGTTGTGCGGGAGATTTCGAGCAGATTTATGATAACGGTATGCATCTGGGTCGGCCAATCAGTCTTCCGCCCGCTGGGCTGCAATCCTGGGCTCTCGTTCGCACCTGTACTCTCGTTCGCGTTCGAATCTCGAATCGAATTCAAATCTGGTCAGTCTAATTGTCTACGATGTCTGGAAACTCGAAATAGATTAGCTTCGATTATCCCTTCGCCCGCCGTATGAATCTCAAATGAAATTCAATCGCCGAATCGTGATAAGAATTTCTTTGTTTCGTTCGAATTCGTTTCTGCTTTTGTTGGGATCGTTCGTTTTAAAATTATGCGATTGTTTTCAAATGCATTTTTTTCGCTTTTTCTTTGATTCTGTTAGAAACGTCAAGGGATGAAAACATTGTACAGGATCATTTCGTTCCGCGTCGATTAGAATACCTGCGTTATTGCCATAATCGTTGATGCGATGATTAATGACAGATTACAAACATATTATCGAAATCGCTGTTTTTGCATTATTGTAGCGCGTTACCATTCGCGCATTATTTGTACTTATCAAATCATGCATAAAATCGTTCGTAATACGAATGTTGTATCGATTGCAAATTTGTTACGATTGATATCAATAATTTATTAGATATTTGCGGCGAACGAGAGGCGCGTGCATTGCAAGATCGAATTAATAAACTTCGAGTAATTACGATCCTTTATGATGGGGAGTGTTAAAATTTCATGCGGAAACAATGTGATCGAGCGGCATGTCGTGAAATTACTAATGAAATTTCTCCTTGAATATATATATAATTTGCGTCCCGCGTTTTTTCCTATAAAACATCTTTAAGCTATCGGTCTCTCTTTTTCTTTTCTATTTTGTATAATATAAATACAATTCTTAAACGTTGTCTTATATAATATGTTAAAAATAATGTCATTAAATGTTAAATTAAAAATAACGTTGTACGGTATCGTTTACACGCGACCTGCTTTTACTCGAAACAAGCATGATATCTCTATCCGTAATAAACATCTACTCTCTTTTTTCTTTCTCTTCTCTTCGTATACTGTACGTTTTGATAATCCTTTAATTATAGGATTCACGAGGTGGCATGAAACAGACTTGCACGAATTTTAAAGAATCATCGCAGTTGAATTCGCATGCCGAATGTTGGATCGTGCGAATCAAAGTTGTCGAGTTAAATATAAAGTATAGTAGAGTTTTTGTGCAAAAATATAGAACGATATTCCAATCAAACATATTTGGAGCAGTATCAAAGAAAAAAAAAAAATGTAAGAATAATTAGATATCGATGGCATTATGCGGTTGCTGATAATACAAAAATTTTTATATCGAATTTTTTTTAGTTGCAAGTTTTATAAGACATTTTGATTATTATTTTTACATATGAAAGAATTTGAATTTATTTTTTAAATAAATATATATATATATGTATAAACAGGAAAAACCGAACATATAAACTATCCTGTATACCACGTAAAGAAAATTACTATTATTGATAATAAATAAGACATAAATATCTTATTATTTTTTGCATTCAGTTGTCAATTAAAAAAAACTTTGTAAAAATATAAAAATAAATAATATAGAGAGGATTTAATATCGACATTGGATAAAATTTCTGATTACCAGGTCGATTTCCGAGCTAGCTGGATAACCGGAAACGACTAAAGGAATAAGCTTTTCAAAAAGGAATTACGAACGCGAAAGAATGACAGTATCGGCATAAGAAACAAAAGACACGTACATGTAGCTTCCGGGAGTCTCGAGAGCATTCTCGATTTAATTCCGCGGGGATTTCCGTTTTCTATCGATATTTTTGCAAGGATCGCTACTCCGCCGATTGCGACGTCGGGACACGAGGGGGATAAAGAACGCGAGATGGATCCCGCCGTGCCGAAGGCGAAATGAACCCCCCCGTGTGTGACCCTTTCTTGGAGGCGTTTTTTTCCCCTCTCCCGGTTCCGCTCTCTTCCACTATCGAGTCACAGATAACGACGGATACATAATACACGGGTGACTGCACGCGATTTCACGAAATCCGCGGAAACCATCTTCACGCTTCGCTGATCAAACGTTACTTCGCGCAGTTTTTTTTTCTTTTTCTCGCTTCTTCTTTCTTTTCCGACCTGTCAGGACGATCCGGACAGTGCGCGACATACCCGTTGCAAAGGGAACTCATTAAAGGCCATTGTACGGAGAAAGCGAGGCAGTGCGTCCGATCGCTTCCAAGATTCGCGGATGGAAGCGTTGTGCAAGCGAGAAACGAATGTTGAATCGATGATAATTATTGCGTTCGTTGTATCTCCTTGTGTACCCATCTATGCGTCTGCCTGGTACGTTTCTATCGCAAAATTTCGTCGACCGTTTCGTTAGATAGATCGTAATCAACGCCCGAGCAGTTTTACCATGAAAAAATATCGCGTATCGGCGAAGATTCGTTAGAAAAATTTGTTTGAAAATATTGAAAGCTCACACTGCGGCGATTTATTTAAAAATTAAAAAAAAAATGTCTTTCATGCTTTGATAAGAGTTCTAAACTATAAAAAATACTAAGAATAATATTTTATAATAGTTCAAATATAATAATAGCAATAATTAATAATAGTTATTAATAATTATTATCGTTCTCATTAATGTTAATAAATAATATAAGCAGTAATAGAGAGAAACAAATTTTGTTGTGCATGTTTTGGATAAAAATATTTGCAAGTCAACGAGTTACCCCGAGAGAGATGATTACGCACGCGTGTTGTACTTGTATACGTGTGTGTGTATGTATGTATTTTATGATTTTATTTTATTAACGAATATACGAATATCGCAATTTGAAACACCAATCGATAACGGTATGTAACGTTGCGCTTGCGATAATAATTGATTTAATCCCGATGTAATCGTAAGCACGTACGAGCGACGACTTTTACGAGAACGAACGAGATTTCGAACAAACGCGCGGGCGCACGTCGGATTATTTCCATTGGATTACTCATTTTTAATTAAATTAATTGAGGAATCGGCGCGCTAATTCATGGAATTCACGTTAGTAGTCGCTTCAGCGTGACGTCCGTACGCTATTGCAGAATTCCGTGAGGTTGGTAAATATTCGAGGAGCGCCGCATTGTTCTCATTACGGCGTATCGCGCCCTGCTATTCCCCGATAACTTCATCAGCCGGTATTCGACATCGAAATATCCGTACTACAAGGTAGGAATTTCGCTTCGCGCGTAGATATAAATAAATACACGCGCGTGAACGTTATTGGCCATTAGTCACGGGACAGCTTGAATCTGTATCGAAAATACAAGCACCGTATAAGGAATACAGATAGCTGCATCTTTCTCGCTCTCTATCGTTTTTTGAAATTACAAAAGAGAATCTACTAAAAATTCCTATTTTATTATTTATAATCGTAATGAATAATTTATCGTTGAGAGGTCTGATCTTTTCTTTGTACAAAGAATTGACCGCAGGCATTTTTCTTCAGAGCGAAATTCTTGCGATTTTCTGCTGCGTTGAAGCTTGCTAAGAAAATTACATCGTTAAGAGATTATTTTTTAATTAGTTTTATACGTACCATATCTCTGAAAATTTTTAGTACAAAAAAGAAATACAATGTATGAATGCAAAAATATTTTAAGAGATAATTTAATTAAGATCGAAATGTATGTAAAAACACATTTTGTTTGCAATCAAATATTTTGAAATTAATGTTGACTATATACTTCGTCATATATTAATTAAAATATGAAATATTCTTACGATCGTAACTGGTAAGTAAAATAATCAATTGATATAGAAAGTCATACTAGAACAGATTTAAAATAAATAGCGTGCGAATGTAAAAATCTCTAAATGAATATAAAATCTATCATGTACATATTTTCTTCTCTTTCTCTCTTTTTCTTTTTCATACAATATACGGAAGCGATTTGGTTCTAGCAGAACGATCTAAGTAATACACGTAAAGGATCTATTAACTTATAGCAACGAAGAGATTGTAAGGGACGATTGGGAATTGTCGGAAAGGTCGTAAAATTTGTTGAATTCTGTAACCGCTTTGTAGACTGCTTGAATTTCAAATAACGTGAGCGATAAAGCTGTAACTGTAAATTTATCACGATTAGACGATCAAGAATTCCGTGCGTTATCAAAGGAAATCATTTGACAGCAATGGCTAATCTTTTGCAAAATCGTTTCGTAAAATTCCGAGTAGGATATCGCGTTCCATATATTTCGATTTCCCATATTAATAATGCATAATGAATAATGAATACAGATTAGCACTGTCTGTACGAAACATATTCCTCAACGTACGATATCATCTTTATAAATATCGCTAGAAAATCGCCGCGAGACTGAAATATCTAACAATATATTTTATTTTCGTAACATCGAATTAAATCTTTCGATATATGTTTATATAATGACGAATATATGTGATATTGGTCGAGCTTGAATTCCATGACATTCCAAATCTCTCGAAAAACAATTTTTTTTTTCTTTTCTATCCAGAATAACTTCATTAAAATTTTAGATTCAGTGGATGTATAGATAGAAATTCCACAAATTCTATGCACGATTTATACGAGTTTTCATGCACGCGGGTCTATATAATATGCTTTAATTTATGTCCAGAAGTATAGTTCTCGTTGAAATTATGATATTATGTGTTACATTTATTTGCTCGTATATTAAAAGCGTGTAAATTTTAAACAAATTTTTGAACGCGAATTCCTGAAATATTACGCTTTCCTATATTGTTGCTTTTTACCGTGGGAATTATAAAAGCCATTAGAGCATGAACCGTTACTTTGTAAAACTATTAGCCGCTTTCGACGTAACTGATTTAAGCAACTCGAGAAAAGCGATGAGTTTATCAAAAAATAAATAAAATACGCAATAAAGACAAGAACTCTGAGAAAAATCGAATTAGTAATTTCATGAATAATGATTATTGGAATGTTCATTTTTGGCAGATTTTTTTCACGATTTTCATAAATAAAGATAATTCAAATCTTAAAATTAATACGTACCTTTTCTAACTTCTGAATGCTAATTTAGTGTCAAATATCCATATCAAGAAGTCAATTAAACTTCAAGTGAATGTAATTATTCCGATGAATATCTCTATCAATACCAACAACAATAAATCTTTTTATTGTTGTATCTTTTATTGTTGTTTCTTCGCAACGCACTATCGCGTTGCGAAGAATAGAAATTTAGTTGCAAGATTTTTTAAATCGCATATTATATTTTTACTATAATAAATCGCTATGATATAGATTGCGTCACATAAAGACCGTGTTCAAGAATATAATATCGGTAACGCAACGTACGTGACTTTCGCAAAATAGATTGAATATCAAATCCATAAAGTTTTATTAAATGTGAGATTTCGTGTCTAAAATAAACTTTAAAGAATTCGGACTCGCGTTTCACATTTTAATTGCGCGCGTTATCCTACACCTCTCGTTTTCTCATTGGTTTACAACGAACCGTTCAGATTTCACCGTGGTTACATATACCTCAAGGATTAAACACGTGCGCATTATATACCCTTGGATAATTTTATCCATTTGCAAGCTTTCCTTGACATATTTCTCCTTTGCGCATGGAAAGGGCAAGACGTTTTCAGGAAACGCTTCTCGAGACATGTCGTCTGAATAACGCATATGTATAACGAAGATAACGCGGAGAAAGAATTCGATTCCTGACAAAAAATACCGTTTACCCTACTGTTTTCTACATTTTCTTTCGTATCTTTGCACGCGAATCTTGCCTTAAATTAGGATATACAGAAAGAACCGTTGAATATCGCCTTATTCGCTACGTGTATCCGATGTGTACAGTGTTTCAGGCGAGAAAAAACGATGCTACGTGATAGTTTCGTGGGCCCTCAAAAGAAACGCCGGGGGCCCCTTTAAATGACACGTTTCTGCCGCCGCTCGGTGAGCTTACGAGTCAAACCTGTCCAACTTGTAAGTTCTATTTAATGCTCAATGACGATACTTAACTTGTAATTAATTCGATAAACTTGACGATGGATACTTAGTTCGCTCTTAAAAGATTTTATAAAAACATGTAAATACGGATAAAATTGATCGCAGGTCTGATGTTTTTCACGAAAAATAATGTGAAGAACATATATGCATACAATAACACACACGCATACACACACATGTCTTAATTTTATATAATTAAGGTCATTTAAAAAAAATCCGAAAAAGTAAAAAAAGAGATTCATTGTAATAGTTCAATTGTGTCTCGAATTCTTTAATATTGCTATTTTGATGAATTTAGATATTTTGATATTTTTGCAAGTGGTCTCAATTGTTATCTTCATATAAGTCGATAATATAATAATAGATGAGTCAAGAAATAAAAGAGAAAAGAACGTGCACCGTAAAACTATATTCTTCCTTGAGATGTTTGCTTCAAGTAGTTCAGCTCAATGACAAGGGAGACGGTGTTACGCTCGTGTGCAACTTTAAGATCAGAGCTACACGTGGCTCGAAAGAACGGCCGTTGCGACATACATCACGATGTTGGTTGTTCAACATTCTGAAAAGTGGTATGTGTGTGTGTATGGATACCACTTGTTTAACTTTTCTTATGTAGGACGTTCTAAAATTCATGCGCACGTTTCGCGCAAGGACGCGAAATTGCAATCATATATAAAGTAATATTCAGCTTCAGCGGCGCACGTGGTGACGTTATTTTCATGGCACAGTGTGTGTGCGACTTTATATTCTTTACTTGTATTATCAAAGTAGAGAGAGAAGCATCTTTTTATCTCCTCTGTGTAATATAAGAAAATTTGCTTATTTTTTCATTATTAATAAAAATATAAAAATTGTAGTATGTGTGTGCAATCGATTAATGATTTCTGTCGTTACATAACAGGATTTTTTTAAAAGATATTAGTAACTAAAATAAAGATTTATAATATTAAGGACAGATATGTGATTTTACGTAGATACAAAGTAGTTATATATAATAGAATATACCTTGATATTGCTGGGGGTTTAAACTTGCGGCAATTGCTAACGTACTTAATACCACGTTGCAACCACGAGATGGTAGGGATCTTCTCTCTTCTCTCACTTTCTCGATGCTTTCCTGGATATAACGACGAGCAGATGATCCATCTAGTAGTATAAGCTGTAATAACGCAGCCGCGAGGTGCCTTAATGACGGTCTTTAATGACGTGCCGCGCTCGCTCTATCCGCATATTGCAATCCTATGCGCGCTTTGTTCGCGTTTGTTTCACGTGCAATAATCGCGTGTGACGCCGTGTCGTGCAATAAACGTGTTTCCGCGTTTGTGACACGCTGCGATCTCCGTCTTGCAACGCTATCATAATATTGTAAGAGGCGGACGACATCACCGAGCTAAACTCGCACGCTTGTAAAGCGAGCAATTTTTCGTAACAATTTTTACAGAAACGAGAAATACAAGATTGTAGCGCGAGCAGAGACCTATGCCTTGCATTTCGATCTAAATATGGGGATTTTGGTTTTGACTGCTATTTCCACATATATTTTTCCTCTTTTTATTTTTATTCGCAAATATGGTGTACCTCAAGAGAAATTCTCCAGACTTTGGAAATGTGTTATTTAAGCAGATTTAAGAAAAGATTGTATATATAACTGATTCGAAATATCTGTAAAGTGATTGTTTTAACCGTTAATTAAATATCATAACTATTCTTGTATTATTGCTATTAGGATCAACTTAATAATTTGCACAGAGCTGAAATAGATATTCTAGAATTAACTCGAGATACCAGATATTCGCCGCAAATAAATGTATCGAATTAAGTTGCTATTATATGTATATTAATTGAAATTCCTATTTAATCTGTATTATTTTTATCGTGATATAAAATCGAATTTAAAGGTCTATTTATACTACGATAATATTTCGGCTCCTTTTAATATTATATTACTTTATAATTAAAATTATGTCATTTACATTATTGCAAAATCTTATAATTCTTGATTTATCCAAAGAGGATCTTAATCATTTAAACAGCACATTTCCAAAATCTATCAAATTTCCTTAGTTAATGTAAACTATTCACGTTTGATATTATCCTGAAAAATGCAAGTACAAGAAATAAAATTGTAACTTGTAACGATAACAATTGTAAAGTAAAAATGTTATTTTTAAACGAAACAATGTTTACGCTTGCATCATTTTCACACACACATACATACATTAAAGATTTCTGATTTTGCGTCGCCTTATCACGATTTTTGAAAAATATGGTCTCACCTTGTTAACGCGATCGATCCGTTTGTACTAACCAAACGAGTTTTCCATCCGTCTGATCTGAATCTGAATCTGGTGAGAGTGAACGATTGGCAGTGTACCCGGAAGTTGGACAGGCCTGGCCTACGTAATCCGCGTCGTCGTGGCGTATTCGACCCGGCGAGTATTTACATAATTCGAGTCGCATGCGCGTCGCGCGTAATGACTTGGAACAGGCAATCGCGCAATCTTCCACGAAAATCTCGCATATCTAAGTAGTCCAGCCGGCGGCAACCTCGACTAAGGTAAATAAAGGATGTAAGAGGTACGAGCGAAGAAAGAGGGGGTAGAGGAGGAAGATGGAATGGAAGACGGGAAACTAGGCAGGAGAGGAGGAAGAAGACCCGCGGGGGGATGGATGGGGAAGAGCGAGAATAGGCGAGGGTGGGATACGGGAGGTGTGAAAAAGGAGGAGGGCGGGCGGACTCTGTATAGTCCCGGGAGTAATATCCTATCTATCACAAACGGAAGTAATGGTGTAATAGTTATGGACATTTCGAAGTGAAACGCTTATCGCGCTAAAACGACGCCCGCTACGATGAGTAACGCCGGCAACAGCACGCCCGCCCGATTCCTCTTCGCTGCCGACGTCTTGCGACGTTGTATCGCTGCCATCTTGTCACCTGAAAAGGCAAGAGAGACAGGTGGGTCCGTTAGTGAATAATGGCTGAAATCGATCGGCCGTTTCGTCGTGCCCCCGTTATCGAGGTAATCGACTACACATCGACACAAGGGGCCGCGACGACGGGACGCCCCCGTTGTGAAAACGGGTGGCGTGTCTCTTGTAAGTTAACTCGAGCGTAAGTTATTTCCGCCGTGGCGCACCGCGTGTTCGTCGTCGTCAATGCGAAGTTTAAGTTAAAGCCGAGAGAATACAAACGGGGACCGGGGGACGGCGAAGATCGCGCACACGCTCTCATGCCGCTTGCTATTTCGCCCGTTATTCAATAATTACATCTTCCGTCACGCGCGCACGAGAGAGCGATCGGAGAAGGCGACTTACACAGATTACGGCAGATTAAATCCGCATACGTAAACAGACGCGAATCCGTGGCACGTTTCACGCTAAACGGCCGGTTTGATTCGAATCCATTATTCATATTGAACAAAACACGTTGTACGTATGTTAGACGAGCAAAAGTCAAGATCAGACGGACCAATATAATTTAGGTTCACCGCCCGCGCGATGTGTATTGTTTGTTGAATACGATCAAGCTTCAATAACAGCATATAGATAATGCGGATTTCGAAATATTTCCATTTGTTTTTCCATTTAATTTGTTTTCATATTTTGTAATGTACATTTTTATTGATCGTTGCGATCAGCAATGTTGAATATACGAAAGAATTTAAAAAATGTCAACGATGTTACACACAGAGATGCTTTTTTATTATAAAAATAGAATGCAGCACCTTTCCGTGTAAAGGAGAGGGATTGCATTTTTTGTATAATGCTCGTTTTGCATTCAAGCCCCGATTTAAGCGGTGTCGAGTAACGACGGTTGCGGTTTTTACCCGATAAAGCCTTCTTTTTTTAGTGTAACGTAACACTGTTTGCGTTAAAGACCCGCCGTTGTAACGCGGATTCCTCCTTTCGTTCGGATTAGCGACCGTGGAAGATCCGAAATAAATTCCGGACGTAGATTTCCATTATAATTTCCAATTGAAATTGTGGACTCCCACGGACTCGCCCGGCGCGTTGCATACAAAATTATTTCCAGCGCTCTGACGCATCGTGCCGGCGTTGTATTCGGTGAAACTGCACAGAATGTGCTGTGGATTACTGAGCTAATTACTGTCGTAGTTACTCACACTGTGCGTCGTAGCTACCCCGCGGAATAATTAATGTTGATAATATATATACATATATTACGTATTATAAATCGCATTATACATATATACAGTATCCCGTGCACCTCGTAACTTGCGAATGTTAATTTGTCGTTACGGATTAAAGATATATAATCGCGTTAGTATTAATACGAAAAAATTATTTCCAATGATTGGGTTTTCTACTTTCGCCCTTATGTTCGTGTGATGTAAGAAATTGTCAACTTGAGTACGATTATACATTTAAAAGAGACGATCTATAATAATAATATTTTGTGACAAACACCATTTGTGTGTGTGTGTGTATACATCATAATTTTGATAATTTACTTTTTATAGAGCAAATTAGAAAATTAATTTTTCAATTTAGTTGAGAATTGATTTCTCAATTTAGAACTTCGAACAAAACACTGCATATAATTTGATTGGCTCAATTAAATCTACAATCTAATTTCTGAAGATAATGTTAAAGAATTAGTATGACTGAAATATCTATCTGTTTTTATTCAATTATCATTTCTTATTTAATTATGTCTATTCATTTCTTATTTAATTATGTCTTTTTTAGTGCATTAAAATATGTCTCTTTCAATAATTGAATAAATGAATGTCGATGTATATCGAATAGTATTTGCAAGAACACTTAATAAATATCAAACGAAGATGAGAGATGCGAAAATAAGAATCAGTTAATGATCGAAGACAAAGTGACGTAATATACATTGTTCCTCGCAAATCTCACTCTCTCTTTCTCTATCTCTGTTGATGGAGAAATATTTACATTATCAAAAGCCATTATTTTTTATATTAATATGTACATTAATATGTACATAGTTATAATTGAAAAATATGAGAAATGCAAAGAATCGATTATTACGATGTTATGCTATAGCAAATTTTTGCTCTACACCAATTTTTCCTATAACATTTTTTATTTAAAAATAATATGATGATTAAATCAATATTTCATCGTCAGTAAAATAAATTTCATTACCAGCGGGGTTAAGTCAGTGTATATTGAAGTAGGTTACAATATGTAAAACTACAAATTGTGGTTAAACTACAAAGTGTGCCACACTATACCGAACAAAACTTTTATTGATACACATCCAAGTTTTTTAGAGGTTTGTTTCAGAATTTAAAGTTTAAGCTAAACGGTTCAGTTGGGAAAATATGTTTTAATCTCATGTTGTATATTTAAAAGTCACAATAAATGAGAATTTTCCTTAAAATTTTCTCGAAAAAAAAAAATCAGTTTTAAATTACACAGAGAATTTATCATTAAGGATGGTATTCTGGTACCGTATTATACCGTATACGGTTTCTAGAAATCGTATTATATTACTTTAATTTTATAGGAGAATAAATCAGAACAGTGAAAATTCTATAATTTATAGTATATTCATTTTTTTACACATCACTGATAATCAATAAATATTATACTTTTTTTTTATAAAATATACTTTGGATATGTCGTAATATACATTGTTCCTCGCAAATCTCACTCTCTCTTTCTCTATCTCTGTTGATGGAGAAATATTTACATTATCAAAAGCCATTATTTTTTATATTAATATGTACATTAATATGTACATAGTTATAATTGAAAAATATGAGAAATGCAAAGAATCGATTATTACGATGTTATGCTATAGCAAATTTTTGCTCTACACCAATTTTTCCTATAACATTTTTTATTTAAAAATAATATGATGATTAAATCAATATTTCATCGTCAGTAAAATAAATTTCATTACCAGCGGGGTTAAGTCAGTGTATATTGAAGTAGGTTACAATATGTAAAACTACAAATTGTGGTTAAACTACAAAGTGTGCCACACTATACCGAACAAAACTTTTATTGATACACATCCAAGTTTTTTAGAGGTTTGTTTCAGAATTTAAAGTTTAAGCTAAACGGTTCAGTTGGGAAAATATGTTTTAATCTCATGTTGTATATTTAAAAGTCACAATAAATGAGAATTTTCCTTAAAATTTTCTCGAAAAAAAAAATCAGTTTTAAATTACACAGAGAATTTATCATTAAGGATGGTATTCTGGTACCGTATTATACCGTATACGGTTTCTAGAAATCGTATTATATTACTTTAATTTTATAGGAGAATAAATCAGAACAGTGAATAAAATATACTTTGGATATGTCCATTTTTCCTTTCTAACATACGAATTTCTCCGATTTGGCCATTTTCCTTGTGTCATTGATCCGGGGCACGAGATACGTGCACGCGTTACCCCATTATGCGATTTGCGTGCCTATTACAACGCGAGCACTAGTTTGCGGCTAATTAACAATGTTTGCGCCGGCTCGCACCTTTAGCCTGAAAGACCGTTATAATTTCTCTTTTCATGCGAAATAAAGGCATCCATTGTGGTACGCTTTCACCTATTCGCTTACAAGAGATACTTGATCTTTGCATTTCTTTCCGAAAATGTATTTCGTACCGTCATTATATCGAAACGCGTACCCGCGTTTATCACGACTATCGGTATCAAATGTCATGCAAAGCTGTATATGTGAAAAATCTCTCTCATATAACATATGTATAATATAAGAAAATACATCGTTTTTATAAATTACATATGAAATTAATATTTAACAGTGCATTTTCTTTAGATATGACAAGTTTATCTTTTTATAAGTCTTGTAATATGTAAAGCGAATATTGAGACAATATAATATACAGATGCAAAGATATTTTATTTACTATTTCGAGAAAAAAATGAAAAAAATATGAAGTGGAGCTATAACTGATAAAAATTTATGATTTGTGGAAAAGAATAAAATAAATTTTGTGTCGTTAGTTTAAATTTACATAAATTAAATACATAAATTATTTAATTTTGATTTGAAACCGCGATCGTGTAAGCTGTGCACATACATGGATAATGTTTGAAGTAAATGATGAAGTAAAATACATTCGAAAAGATAAAGAAATTAAATCATTTGAGCCGAAAGCGGCGTCATATTTCTTTTCTCGCGCGTCTGTCTCTAGTTTCGAATAAATTTATTCGAAGCTATTGATCGTGTATACTATCTTTTATTTTGTATTCTGAATGTACAGAGTTGGGGGACCACTTCCGCTGATTAAACTTCCGCGGTTAATTAACCACAGGCCGATATTTGCTCCGGTTTTGCGCCAATCCTGGAAAGACCGTGATGATGTTTCCTCTCAAATAGAACCATAGTGACCCGCCGTTAAACGGAGTTATTCCCCATACTCGTCAAACCGCAAATACGAGCTACTCGACTAGGGTGGTTAACGCCGTAAACATCGTTATGTTTCGCTTGCGGCCGACATGCCTTTTGTTCTTTTATATTTTCGCCGCATTCTGTCCTAACGAATTTATCTTGACGATAAGAAAAAAAAATTGTCATATCGCGATATTAACACGCCGTAATAGCAAAGTATGTTTGTCGCAGTTCTAAATAATTTTTGCTCTGGACGGGATTCGAAATCCCAGAAGATACAGAATTTTACGATTTCTTTTATACGCATTATTTCTTCTACGTAAAAGGAAAATATAGAAGCTGCTTCTTATTGCTAGTTAATACAGATAAAATATCGTAAACTCGGGAGAACTTTTCGAATATTTTTCTGAAGAAGATAAACCGATGGTTTTATTTATAATGCATCTAGTTGTTTTATAGATTATTTTTGTGTGTGTTAACTTTGCGGTTAAACTGACTTTGCGTTCTTGACTAACAATGATGGAGCCTGACTCATCTACCAGAGCCGATAGTATTGATTGCGGAAACTGAATAGCTCTCAGG